TTCACTTATAAGGACATTTGTGATTGCTTTAGGCCCATATGGACAATCCAGAATGATTTCCCCGTTCAAAGGCCACTAACAAACTTGTTTCCATTTGCAACATTGATTCATTGCCATAGACCTTAACCTATTATGTTAGTCAGCTTTACTATTACTGAGAACTTATATTTGACACCCAAATTTCTTTAAAACTCAGAAAATAAATTAATTTATCCAAAGATGCATAGGAACAGGGTAAACCTTTCTATTCCAGAGGGGAGAATTAAGGAAACAGAAAATGTGACAAGAGCAAAACTGAAACCCAGCAGGGCAAACATTAAGTCTTCTATCTCTATGTCCAGCATCCTGGGTGCATGGTGGTAAAACGCAAGCTCCAAAAAGTTTGGGGGTTCCTTCCTTTTGGCCTTGCTGGTTGCCACCCACCTGGTTTCTCTCTAGAGCTGCCTCCACTATTGCCTTTCAGTTTTCCTTGATAGGCTTTCCACATTCCTGGAATCTCCACCTTCTTGCGTTTTCCACTTCACCTTTGGCTTTATTTCCATAGCTTTACCCATAGCTTTCTCAGGTAATATTTGCTTGGCCACCCAGGATTTTTTTTTAAAATTTAGATAGAAGCTTCCATGATCCTACAGCTCTCTCATTCTCCATTCCTAAACAATCAGCATCATGTGAATGACACCATGGTATATTATCATCAGGAGCAATAAGCAGGCCCCCTTGGACCATGGCCCCAGAGGCCTCTGTGCCTGGTTGGCTGAGCATAGTGAAATGAAACCTGAGGAAGCAATTTCTTAGATGATCTTTCTCTTGCAAGGGGCTCAGAACTCTCTTCTGAAATGAAAGATTTACATTTTTGCACCCTTGAGCCTGTGAAAAATGGGATTTTGCTGATTGCTGAGATGTCTCAAGACATTTTTATTCTTATATCTGTTGAAAGTAGTTTGACTCTTTTAATGGTGCTAATTTCTTCAGTAGCCATATTCCTTTAGCCTCCACTTTACACATGGTTCTTTTCACCAAAATTTAAGTTTTAAAAATTTTTATACTGCTTTTTACCTCTGATCCTCACTGTAAATCTGGC